AACATTTTTGCTGAAAGAGGACATCTTCGATTTCCAGGTGAAGCTTTCGTTCATATGGGGACCATCACAACAAATCGAGGGAGGGCGCGCCAGGACCGTGGTCTCTTGCGTGCTCGCTGTGCTCTCCGCGACGGCGACCGCGCAGGCGCGTGCATCCCACTGCCGGGCGCCGTCGCCGTCGCCGTCGTCGCCGTCGCCGTCGTCTTCGTCGCTGGCGGCGGCGGCGTCGTCGTCGCCGCGGCGGCGTCGTCGTCGCCGTCGGCCGGCTGGGTCTGCACGTGCACGCGTTCTTTCTTGCTGTTGTTTTTTTGTTTTACTGCTGGCAGGCCCCGTCGTCGTCACAGCTGCTCACGGCTCGAGCAGCCACGCGCGTTGTGTCGCAGGCCCGCGGGCGATATGTATGCACCGTACCGCGTTGGCGTCTCCCGAGGCGATGTCGATCTTCGACCCAGGAATGGTACGGTGCATCGTTGATCGTCCCCAAGGAACCCACACATTGTGCAACGTACCACGTCGGAGCGGGGCCTGAGTGGAGCCCTGGCATGGTACGGTGCATGGGCGCCGCTCTCGCAACAGAGGAGGGAGGAGGGAGGAGGGTGGAGGGCGGAGGGAGGAGACGACGACGACGACGACGACGACGACGACGACGACGACGACGACGACGACGACGACGACGACGACGACGACGACGACGACGACGACGACGGCGGCGGCGGCGGCGGCGGCGGCGGCGGCGGCGGCGGCGACGACGACGTGGTCCGGGCCCCGATCTCGAGAAAACTCCGGCCACGGGCGAGATCCCCTCCAGAGGCCAGGAGGAGGAGGAGGAGGAGGAGGAGGAGGAGGAGGAGGAGGGGGAGGAGGAGGGCGGAGGAGGAGGAGAGGAGGAGAGAAGGAGGAGGAGGAGGAGGGCCCAGGAGCTGGGCGTGCCGAGGGGGGGCCTCCCGAGGCCGCGCCTCCTCCTCCTCCTGCTCCTGCTGCTGCTCCTTCCTGCTACTCCTCCTCCACCTCCCTCCCTTCCTCCTCCTCCTCCTTCTTCCTCCTCCTCCTCCTCCTTCTCCTCCTCCTCCTCCCTGCGTTTCTGCATTTCCCGCTAATCACAGCGTCTCCCCGCCCTCCCGCGCGCCGAGCGGGCGCGCCGCGCATCCCTGGCTTCGACGGCGGCGGCGGTGGCATGAACCTCGGCCCCCAGGAGAAGAGGAAAGCGGAGGAACAACGATAATCACAGGAGCCAGAAGGAAAGGGGCCGAGGCAAAGGACGGCGCCCAGGACCCCGGCGGGTCTGCTGACCCCCGCTGTCGAGACCCTTGGGACGCCCTCAGGGTAAGAGGTAGCGGCTCCCCGCGCAGGGTGCGTCGGGGAGCCTTGTCGTTCTCGGGCCGCCACCTTCCACCTCGGTGGCGGCCCGACCGCTCGACCTGCTCCTCCGCCACCAGGAGCGCGAGGTGGAAGTTCCCCTGGTGCGCCCGCTGATGCGGCTGCCGCCCTTAGGGGGGATGATCTGTCATCTTCTTCGTCCCCTTGGTGACGTGAGGCCATCATGCTGTCTTGTGGTGGCCAGGCCACTGGTTGATCCGTGGTCCTCCACGCTCTGGCGGGGTCGGAGCCGATCCGCCCTGTAGCAGTCGTGTCCCACTTCTGCCTCCTCGAGCTGGTAGGGGTCGAGGGGTGCGTAGAACTGTAGGTACAGGTCCTCGCCTGCTTCGGCGCCTGGCCATGGCGCTTCCCCTGCTGTGATTGCCCCCCACCTGGAGTACAGAGCCGCTGCCATGGCTCGACACATCTGCGGCGGATACTTCTTGAGCGGTGCCGTCCGCCATCCCCCGTGCCCGTCCCTGCCGTATGCGCCGCGATGAGATGTGTGTCTGCACCTGGGCCCCCCTGGGTGCGCCGCCAGCTCTCTTCCCAGTTCAGGCAGGTTCACTGTCAGCAGCTGGGTCGGCTTCTGGGCTAGCTGTCCGAACTGGCATTGGTCCAAGTACAGAATCTCGGTTTGTGGTAGTCCCGCCATCCATCGTACTTCTGGTTGGTGCCAACTGCTGGGTGCCTGCGGGCACCACACTGCTGGGGCAGGATGCTCCAAGATCGCGGACACTTGTAGGAGTAGACCCAGCGAAATCAAGTAGATTGTCGTGCGATACAGCTGGTTCCCGAGTATCACCTGCTGCATCTCGCTCATGGTGGCGTCCTGTATGCCCCATGGCAGCGCCCTTGTGCGCAAGGGACGGGGCGCCCGTCCCTCCAGCGCGTGCCACCTCGAAGAGCACCACGTCTCACAGGGCGGCCCAGCAATCACTGCCAGGACTTTGCCAGCTCTGATCGCCTGCGCCCAGTGCTGGACGGCCTTGGCATTTGTCAGGTCGCCCCTGTCCTCGCAAGTCTGCACGTCGATCGATAGCACGATGATGCTGTGGTCGCGAGCAAAACCCTCGAAGTAGTGCTGGAGGTCGCCTTCGCGCCTCCTGCCTGAGAAGAGGCGCAGTATGTAGAGCGTGCCCGTGACCAACGGCCTGATAAACCCGCTGGACGCCGTCTCGTCCGCTACTTCTGGTGCGCCTTGCTGCGGTTCCAGCTGGATCTCGGGCGGTGTTGGTGTCAGCTCCGCATTCTCTGCCTCGGCGTCCGCAAGTCTCAGAGCGAGTACCAGCCGTGCGGGCACCAGCGCCTTGTCGGCGTAGTGACCGGCGGCTTTGCGTTGGGCGATCTCCGCACGCTCTGCCTCCCTTCGGTCCTCTATATCTCTTCGAGGCTCATCGGGGGCTCCAGCATGCACAGGACTTTCAGGCATTTGGGGACACGGCGCAAGTGCTTGAGGATCCTGGACCTGGTATGGAAGTTGAACCCGCAGCCAGGGCAGATTGTGCCTCTGATGTGCGTCTCTGCTACGTCATAGCCGACATGTTCCACTGTGTGGTGCCTGCGCCAAGCCCCCTTGGTCTTCAATACTTTGCCGCACTCGTAGCAAATGTATCCATCTGCCGAGGCGGCCTGGGGCTGGCTGAAGGACGGCCGCGGGAGCCTGAACTCCATGCTGAGATCCAGGAGTTGCCTCTGCCATTGTGCATGTTTGTGTCTGTCTTGCTGCCACACACGGTAGCGCTGCCAAGCGCGACCCAGCGCCGCGTGCGACAAGTGCTTCCCTTGGCTCCTGACCCACTGGATGAACTGCCTAAGCCCGCCCTGGGGCTTGTTGTCTTCAGTCATGTAGTTGACAATCCAGTCGATGTCGTCCAGTATCATGGCGTTCCAGGTGTCATTGGTGTCCCATAGTTCGTCCGCCAGCCTCTGCAGGAAGCGCGCGTCGGAGTGCAGCAGACGCACCAGATAGTGCAGCCTTCGCATCCTAATGTGCATGGCAATAGGCACCTCCCCGCAGATGGCCAGGACTTCCTCGTCGGTAACGTGCTTGTCCGTCTGGCAATTGTGCTGCAGGTAGGTGGATGCTCGAAGGCCCTGAATGAAGCACGCGTTCAGCTGGTTGGCCTGCAGCTTGGTGAGCGGCACCCATATCTCGCTGTCGTATATCAGCTTGCTGAAACACAGTGCATTTCTGTAATGTAGTCTAGCCTGCAATGTGACCTCTGGCATCCTGTAGATAAACTTCCGCAACGGTGCCTCCGCAGCTCTGTATCCGATGATGCGTCTCATGAGGTTCGGCCCCTCCGACGAATCCGTGGTGATGACGTTGCCGAGAGTTACGCCCTGTGTGGCCACGACCAGCTCGACGCCGTGTTGCACCAAAGTTACAGGGTTGCTGGTGAAGATGCTGGCCTTGGTGGCCCGCTTCGCTTTGCCCTCTATCTCCAGCACCGCCGTAGTCTTTAGCGGGTGCAGCTCGTGTCCGAAGATGCTCAAGCGGTCGGATATACACTTGACAATCTCGAACAGGTGGTCCTTGATCATGTAGTTGTCCCGCAAGACGCACATGTACGAGGCATCGTCCATGAACGAAACCTCGGGCAGGTGGTCGTCCACGTCGTCATCTCTGGGCCTAGTGAGGTGCGCATGGCTCTGTGTAGGTGCGGGTAGCTCGAGCTCCTCCTCCCTCCTCCTCCTCCTCCTCCTCCTGCTGGACAGCTGCGACGACGACATCGAGGTGCCCTGAGCCTCCTGGGTGCTTTCAGGCCCCCCTTGCCCCTCCCTGGCTCCCCCTCTCGGCTCCGCGTTTTGGGTTCGCTTTCGTTGGCTGCTGTTTTCTTCGCTTTCGCTTCCCTGACTACGCGTAGTCTTCCTATGAGGTGTTTCCCGATAGTTGGCGCAACACTATGGCATTCACACTTGTACGACACTCTTTCTGTAGTATCTGCTCCTTTCAGTGGAGGGATCGGCGCGCCTCCAGGGGTGGGACTCCTCCTCCTCCTCCTCCTCCTCCTCCTCCTCCTCCTCCTCCTCCTCCTCCTCCTCCTCCTCCTCCCCCCCTTTTGCTCCTTCTGCTCCTCCTCCGCCTCCGCCTCCTCCTCCTCCCCCTCCTCACCCGCCACCTCCTGCTCTTCCTCCTCCTCAGCATCTGCTTCTCCCGATCCAGGCCAAGCACACTTTGAGTCATCATCATATTGCTGCCGCGGCTTTTTGTGGCTCTCTTTCGGGCCGCACTTCCATTCTCAAGCTTCTCAGGTGTCCTGCCCAGGAATGCAGGACCTCGCCCACCATGCTGCGGACGTCCTGAGGTTCGGGGCGCAGGCACTGGGGGCCTCGCTGGTGGCCCGCGCTTCGGCTCCCAGCTGCGGGTCTTGCTCCCCACATTTGGCGTGTCCCGCGCCGCCGACCCTCTCCTGCCCCTCCTGCGTGTGCGCGGGCGTGGGCGGGCAGGTGGTCGAGCCCTCGTGCGCGGGCATCGTGGCGGCGTACGCTGTGGCCGCCGGCACGGTCGGGCTCGCCGTCGGCGCTGGTGCAGGCGTCCTCGCGGCTCGTCGTGCACTTGCTCCGCCGCCCGAGCCCACGGGTGGTGAGCTGCCCACGGAGGTGATCGACATCGACGCGCTCGCTGCCGAGCAGGTGAGGCTTGCTCGCCGCCGAGCCCCAGCACTTCAGTGATGGCGGGAGGCTTCCACGCTATTCGCTACCGCGTGGGAGGTGTGGCTTTGTGGCACGAGCGCTTAGTGCTCGGGGTCTCGGCGGGGTTCGCGTATGTCGTCACGCCCGACTTCGACGACTACGATGAGCCGATCGTGGTGGGGCCCGACGTGCGGGCCGTGCTGCCGCTGGCTGGACAGGGCGACACGCCTGCTGCGCTGGTCGGCGCCGCAGTGCATCGATTCAGACGCTTGCCGACGGCCGCGGAGCTGTGGGCTGCCGTGGGTCGCTCCGTGGCCGCGGGGTACCCGATGCCAGCGGACCCTCTTCTTCTGGCTCTCGCGGCGGGCAACGCTGCAGGCGCGCCTCCAGGGCCCTTCCCGCTGGCGGACCCAGCAGCTGCGGCCGCCGCCGCGCCTGCGCCGCCTCTCGCCCTACCACCTGCGGATGGTCCTGCTGCTCCCGTCCCGCCGGGGGCCGCCCCTGGAGTCGCGGCGCTGGCCGCCGCTCTGGGACCCGTGCCACCTGGCCCTGCCGCGGCGCCGCCGCTGGCGCCTGTGCCTGGAGCTGCGGCTGGTGGCGCTCTCGCGGTCGATGCTCTTCCCGTTCCTGCTGGCGACTTCAGGGTGCTGCCGATGGCGATCAACCAGCGGGGCGAGCGCGAGCGGAGGTTCGGCGAGACGGTGAACGGCCTCTCAGAGACCGAGGTGGTGGGCTGGCCGATCCAGGGCCCGCGTACTCTTCTCTGGTGCTTGTCCTTTATGTCAACCATGGCGGGGACGCCCACCGCGTGGCATCAGCGGTGGCTCACGGCCATGGCCCTGGCCGACGACGACGAGTACGCCAAGCTCCATGAGACTCTCTGTCGGGTCTTAGACCTCGCCGTGGTCTACGACCAACTGCAGGTGGCGGAGATGGCGTCCTTCGAGGTCGTCGCGCGTCAGCTTCAGCTGCTGGAGGAACGGGTGTACGAGTCTCGCTCGGCGCCCCCGACGGCTGCCGCGCCCAAGGCCAAGTCTGGAGCCAGGAGCGCCGCGACGGCCACCGCCGTCAGCATGGCCGAGACGAGCTACTTCTTGGGCGCGGGGGTCTCCAAGGCCAACTTGTGCATCTCTCCGAAGCTGCTCGAATACATCGCAGATCAGATGAAGGCGGAGGCCGCCATCAGCAAAGAACGACGCAAGGCGCGTGAGGAGCGTGCCTTGCGGGCGCCATGATATCTGAGAAGTCCAGGCCTGGCTGTGGGGCGCGCCTCAGTGGCGCCAGCCAGGCGCATTGCCCCAGCGCTGCTCATCAAGTTCGGCAGCGTGACGTTTTTCCTCTCCGTCCTATCCCTGTGGAGCGACGATCTGGCATCGCGTCGATGGGTGGTTCAGCCCGCGGACGGGCCGCCAAGGGTGCTGCCTGGAGAGAGTGGTACAGCGATGCCGTGTCCACCCTCAACGACATGCACCATTGCGACCCTGATGATATGGTTACTCCGCCTCCAGGTCTTCCTCCGCGCGCTCGTAGCGACGCTGAAGAGTATCTTGCTCAACAGTTTCGCGATTTTGAACTACCTCCTGGATGTTCCGAATCTCCGATCAGATGCGAGGCAGCCCTGGTAGAGTTGCTCGCGTCGGCGCCCGGATACTCTGGTGAGTCTCGGGTGAGACCCTACGACAAGGAGCTCGTCTCCTGGCCGAAGCACGTGGCCCCCGTTCCCACGGCCGATCTCGTGTCCGACGCCGATCGCTCAACGTTGTCAGGGTGGAGGCAACAAATGCTACGTGATCCCGCGGAGACAGCTACTCTCAGGAAGGACTCGGGCATCGGTTCGCCATACGTGGATCCTCGCCTTCGGTTTCGCCCTCGGGAGTATGCTGATTTTTTGCTGCGCTTGGATCAGGCTGGCATGCTAGAGTGGGAGGTCGCCGAACGTCAGGCGCCCTACTCCACAGGCTTCTTCTTCGTCGGGAAGTCAAATGGGGTCAACCTTCGGCTCGTCTTCGACACGCGGGTTGCCAACATGTCCTTCCTTGCCCCCCCCTTCTACGAGATTGCCGACTCCGTCGGCATGGAGTGCACTCGAGGCTTCGGATGACTTCTACGTGGCGCAGGGTGACATCCAGTGCGCATTCTATCACATGAAGTTGCCGCCCCAGCTGCACAGATATTTCTCTCTGCCAGTGGTCCCGAATCGGTACTTGGGTTTCAATGCGATCAATGGACTGAAGCTCCCCACGAAGGCCTTCTTACAACCGTTTGTGTCTGTGATGCCGATGGGGTGGTCGTGGGCTCTCCACTTTTGCCAGTCAGCCCTAACCACAGCCATGCGCGACTCGGGGATCGACGATGATGCGATGCTGGTAGACGGTTCAGCACCCCGTCCTCTGCGAGACCATGGCGACATCATCGCAGCTGGCTACGTGGATAACTTCGCCACCGTCTCACTCAGTCCAGACGTTGCCACCGCTTCGTGCCAGGCCATTCGAGACGTGCTGGTTGCGAGGGGCTTACCTGTTGAAGAGTTCGCCCCCGCGGCGCAACGCGTCACCTTCACTGGCCTCGACATCCTGGGCGACGTCGGCGTCGTCAGGTGCAAGGTGGACCGGTTGTCTCGGTTGCGCCAGGCCCTACTTGGGCTACTCAGACGTGGCTTCGCATCTCCGCTTGCGTTCTCCGCCGTGGTCGGGCACTGCACCTGGGGGATGATCACCAACAGGCCCATGCTCTCCATCTTCCACGCAGTCTACCGCTTCATGGGTCAGGACTCACGGCGGGCTTTGCCGCTGTGGCCGTCAGTCGTCTCTGAGCTCCGTGCCGCTGCTTCCCTCATCCCGTTGTGGTGGGCTGATGTCAGGGCTGAGTGGGCGGCCACCACCTTTTGCAGCGACGCCTCTCCATACGGCATTGGCGTGTGTCGCAAGTTCGTGGAACAAGAGGTCGTTGCTGCCGCAGGTCGACGGTCTGAGAAATGGCGCTACCATTTCTCCGATGCCGTGCACGCCCGCGCCCACGCTCTGGGAGTCGACCCGAACGTCGTGTTGGAAGCTGCCGTGAGCAAAAGAGGCCTCAAAGACTGCGAGCAGTGCCCGAGGCCTCCCGAGGCCCAAAGCAAGCCCTCGCCCACCGCATCATCATCACCTCGAGGGCTCGACGAGATTTCGATGGACGGCTTCGACGAGGTTCCCGACTCGATCACGGCTTCCGACGGCTGGTCTACGATATATAGCGCACGGCATTCGAGGTTCGGTTTGGACATCATGCGATACGAGGCGGAGGCTCTCGGATTTGCGATGCGACACTCGTCTCGGTCTGGACGGCTTCGACATCATCGCATCCTGTTCACCGTCGACAATTTGGCTCTAGCCCTTGCTGCTGGCAAGGGACGTTCTGGTGCCCGAGGGCTTCGCGATCCACTACGACGCCTCTGTGCTCTGTCCGCAGCTTGCGGCATTCGCCACGCTGTGCGATGGATCCCTAGCGAGAGCAATGCCGCAGACTCGCCGTCGAGGACAGGTTTCTTTGTCGGGCCGACCTTCGAGGAGCACCAAGCGGCTGCACCCCGAGTTTCGGCGCCAGCGAGCCACGACCGTGACGAAGCAGAGGACCAAGACGCATCCAGGACCACAACGGCTCGGGCGGGGTGCGCTCTCGGTCCTCGAGTCAGCTGCCGTGTCGGACACAACCATGGCCAACTACTGGGGCGCCGCCAAGAAGTTCGAGGTGTGGTGCCGCTGGACGTCCCAGACCTTCACCACGGCGGCGGAGGTCGATGTCATCCTAGTTACCTACTTCGTGAACCTCTTTCTGGACGGCTTCGACAGTGCTACGGGCCGAGTCCTGCTCGCCTCCTTGAAGCACTACCTGCCTTCGATCCTGGTGGGCAGGACGCCGTGCCCGCGTGCAGCTCGCGCCTTGACAGGCTGGCGGAAGCTCGTGCCCCCGCAGATGCGACTACCCCTTCCACGGGCGGCGATGGCCTCCATCGTGGGCGTCCTCATCTCGTGGAAGCTCTTCGGCATGGCAGTGTTCGTCAGGCTGATGTTCGACACCTACCTGAGGCCCAGCGAGGCCTATCGGCTAACAGCGGGCAGCGTTATTCGACCAAGACCCGATGCCGCCCGCGGGTACGGACATTGGGCCCTGATCGTCAACGACGCCTGCCTCGATCGTCCTGGGAAGACAGGGGAGATGGACGAGAGCGTGATCGTCGACAACCCGACGCTCTGGCCCCTTCTCGACGCGCTGGTGCTGGGCAAGAAGACGAGCGACGGCCTCTGGACCTTCGCCCCCGACGAGGTGCGGAGCATGTTCCGTCGTGCTGCCGCTGCGCTCGGGTTGGAGGCCGAGATGACGCTCTACTCCCTTCGGCATGGGGGTGCGTCCGACGACCTCCTGTCTCTCCGACGCACCAGGAAGGAGGTCAAGGACCGCGGCCGATGGAGGACGGACCAGAGCCTCCTCCGCTATGCCAAGAGGGCTCGTATGCAGCAGCGGATCGCCTCCCTAGGCCAGAACCTGATCGACTTCGGGCACGCGGTCGACTCGGAGATGAACGATCTCATTCTGCAGACCACCTCCTCAGGCGTCTTCCCGCTGCAAGTGCCGCTTGCCGTGGCGCCGACACCGCCAGCGGTCAGGCCTCCGCCCCCGCGAGTGACAGCGCGGTGGGCCTTCGCCTGACGAGGATTTGGCGTGCAGCCAGGCGTGCTGCGACGCGGTCCAGGCACTCGCCCGCCCTAGTAATTGGCGGCGACGGCGGCGCGGCTCGCGCTCTGCAGCGCCTCGGCTTTGGCGTGCTGCACTTGAATGTGAGACGCCACGTTACTGATGACATCACAGATCCTTTAGTGATGAAGCGCGTGATCGGATGGATTCGTGCAGGCTGTATCTCGTGCGTGTGGGTGGAGCCCGACACGACTACGTGGCCCCCTCAGAAGCCCGCTGTCCGTAGCAAAGCTCGAGCCAACGGCCTGCCGAGTCTGTCCAGTGCCCAGCTTCGATCCGTTACCATTGCGAATCTGTTTCTCAGTCATTTTGTGCGCCTTCTGTCAGTGTGTAGTGACAATAAGGTTCCAGCCGCGCTGTGTCATCCAGATGCGTCTTTCATCTGGGATGTCCCTTCTTGCAAAGCAATAGTTAGCCAATGTTCGTCTGCTGCAGTCTTCGATGCATGTATGTTCGCTGGCCGTATAAAGAAAAGATTTCGATTAGTGAGCTGGCATGTACAAGACATGAGTTCTCGTTCTGCTATCTGTTCGCCGGCCGACTCGCGTTGCTGCCGATCTGGGAAACGGCATCTTGGCGAGCTCGGCATCCCATCTTTAGATCGGCAGGTACGCAGCAAAGCGCTGCGGCTCCCCGCTAATGTTCTAAGATGCGCCTGCGACAGGATGGCTCTCAGTGTTGATTCGCTTCGCTACATTGCTCGGCAGATCAGAGCTGTGTGAATTCAGTTAATGCGGCTTTCAAGCCAGTGGGATTGGCTAACCTAGGTACCTGGTGCATCGCGACAGCATGCGTCCGCTGTCCTCGCCTGTTGCCGAGTCCTTTGCACAAAAAGATAGCCCCTGGCCTCCAGAGTTGCCCACATTTTGCTGCCCGCGGCTTTTTGTGGCTCTCTTTCGGGCCGCACTTCCATTCTCAAGCTTCTCCCGCCCGCCCTGTTTCCCGCTCTAGAATGTTGTACCTGGTGCATCGCGACAGCATGCGTCCGCTGTCCTCGCCTGTTGCCGAGTCCTTTGCACAAAAAGATAGCCCCTGGCCTCCAGAGTTGCCCACATCATCATCATCATCAGCATCATCATCATCATCATTATCATCATCATCACCACCATCACCATCATCATCATCATCATCATCGTCATCGTCATCTTCATCAGCATCATCAGCATCAGCATCATCATCGCCATCGTCATCGTCATCGTCATCAGCATCACCATCATCAGCATCAGCATCAGCAGCAGCATCATCCTCATCAGCATCAGCATCATCATCGTTCTCGTCATCGTCATCGTCATCGTCATCAGCAGCATCATCATCATCGTCATCGTCATCGTCATCACCATCATCACCATCATCATCATCCTCATCATCATCATCGTCATCATCAGCAGCATCATCATCAGCAGCAACATCATCGTACTCCTCGTCGCCGTCGCCTTCATTGCCGTCATGAGTCATCGTCGTGATCGTCGTCGTCGCCACCAGGGGCACCTGGTTAGAGGCACGCCGCGCCGCGCCGAGGGCGCCGAGCCCAGCCTGGCCCCGCGGCTCTCGCGGCCCGCACGGGGGCGCCGGAGGCTCTTGCCACGTGGAATCGCTCGGACGCGTGCACTTTTTCCTCGGCGAGGAACACCGAGGAGCATCCTTGATGTTCCAGAGGAGGAGGAGGAGGAGGAGGAGGAGGAGGAGGAGGAGGAGGAGGAGGAGGGGAAGGAGGAGGAGGAGGAGGAGGAGGAGGAGGGCGAAAGAACCACGCAGGAAACCGAACAAAAACACAGTGAGTGGACGTCCGAGCGATGCCCAGTGGAGGGGCTCCCGGCGGCACCTCTGCCGGAGGCACCTCGAGCTCGCTCGCTCGGGCCTTGCTCTGCCTGGCCCTGCCTGCCCTCGGGGCGATCGCAGCGAGCACCGTCGGACCGAGGCAGAGAAGGCCGAGGTCGGTGCGGGGAGCGTGCCTCAGTGTTTTTCGTGGTTGGCGGATGTTCTTGTGCATCCTGGAGAGGTACCCTTGGATTTCTTAGTGGGCCCTGGAAACGACAGGGCCGTTTTTTGACCGGTTCCGTTTTGCCGTTTTTGTTGCCGGTTCCGACGCCGTTTTTGTACCGGTTCCGTCGCCGTTTTTTGACCAGTTCCGGCTCCGGTTCCAATCCTGGAGCCGCTTTTTTGCCGTTTCCGGTCGCATTTTTTTTGCCGTTTCCAATTTCGAGGGACATTTTTTTTGGAAACGGTGAAAAAACGGCCTTGCCGTTTTCGGGGCTCACAGAGAGCGTGCCCCAGTGTGTTTCGTGGTTGGCGGATGCTCTTGTGCATCCTGGAGAGGGTGCCCTTGGATGTCCTGTTTGCTTTGACCCGCGGAGGGCCTCAGATTCTTGAAGGAGGTTTTTCTGACCTGCGTCCGACTTTACGGGAGTAATGGTTGCAAAGTGTGGACGTCAGTTGTCAGTTTGGTTCAGTTTGAAGAGGACTCGCTGTCGGTGTCGCCGCGGGCGGTGACCATGTGAGATAGAAGGCCGCCTGCCCAACAGCGGTCGCCGTCGGTTTTGGATAACAGTTGCTGTTTGGCATGGTCTCCACTTTTTCCGTACCCGTTTCGGGCGTCCAATTGCCTTGCCCGCCTCCCCTTTGCGTCCTTGTCCCCCCTCGTCTCTGCTTCGCTAGCTGTGTTTTTGTTTTCTGTTCCTCTGCTTTTCCTCCTCTCAGTGGGGCCAGAAGTGCAGCCTCGTCATGAAGCACGGGTTCGCCCCGAGCCCCAAGCCTTCGCTTGACGACATCACTTCCTGCCCCCCCCCCAATTCCCCTCTCCCCTTTTGCATGACAAAGAGCAGTCGCTGCCGCAAAATAACGCTCTTCTAGGAAGCTGCCTCAACATACAATTCGGCGGTCCGAGCGGACCGTCAAACGTCTCTGTGTTATGTTGTTTTTTATTATTGGAGTCCTCCTCCCATCCTCCTTACATTTCGTGGACGTGAGGAGGAGCAGGCCTTCTCAGAAGGCGGCGGGCTTCTCATAAGCACACTGACCTTCTGAGAAGTGTTTTGTGTTGTCGGGGAAGGCTCAGACAACTTCTCAGAAGGCCCGAGGCCTTCGAGCTTTCTGAGAAGGCCCGCCCCTTCTCAATTCCTCCCCAGGCTCGCCGCCGACCATTATCTTCCTTCCTCCCTTCCTCCCTCCTGCGCCTCCGAGTGGGAAGCGCGAGGAGGGGAAGCCCTCGTCATCCACATCCGCCTCGCGAGTCCCGGGTCAGGGCCGCGAGCACCACGCGCGTGGAATGCCGAACGCCCTGCTTGTACGCGGACAGCTGCGCTGGCGAGGGACCCCTGGGCCAGATTCGCAGAAGAAGGAGCGGCATACATGTAACTGTTCGATGGTCCGCGCGCACCGTCGAGCGTTTATGTTTGTATGCCGTTTTTTCTTCCTGTGCACAGATGCGTTGACGTGTCGAAGCCGTGGCAGTGTGTAAGGCCGAGGCCACGTCCGTCGGTATCCTTCAAGAGACCCCTATCCCTTGAAGAAGTCCAACTCCCGTTAAGCTTTGTCGGGGCCAAAAACGCAAACGAGGTGTGGAAGGTGATGAGGGAAGTTGGCTTGCGATGGCGAACGTGTTGGAATGCGCGTCGGGGTGTAGCAGGATGCGCGGGCGTGTGGAAGGTGGCGAGCGCGCGGGGGAGGTTTGGTGACCATGGGGAAACATGATTGCGCATGTGGGAGAGGGGACGGAGGTGCGGAAGTTTGGAAGACCATGGGGAAGTTGGGGATGACATGGGGAAGATGGGACGGAGGTGGGGGAGTTGGGGAGACCATGGGGAAGTTGGGAATGGCATGGGGAAGTTGGGGCGGACATGAGGAAGTTGGGGGGGGGCGCGGAAGAAGCGCGAGGAAGTTGGGAAAGGCATGGAAGTTCACACGGACAGCTAGCATGGTTCACGCGGAAATTCCAGTGAGGCGCGTGGAGGATTGGCCGGAGGCCGGGGGGAGGCGATGTGGCCCAGGGGACTGTTTGCATGGCGCGGGCATTTGGTGAACATGAAGTGGAGCGGGTTGGGGCGGGGGGCGATTGGCGCGGGGGAGGTCCTGCGGGCTGGACGCGCCTGAGAGAGGAGTGAGCTGGTGAAAACACACCAATCTCAAAATACGGTTTCGTGGATCACGGGAGGCACGATGCGGTTGGAGGTCATCGGAGGTAAGGGGGAGTCCCGATCCTGTCCGATTTCGATGTCGGTGTTCCGATTCATTCCTTTCCGATCCAAATCAATTTCCCGTTGGAACTTCCGCTTGGTCTTGGCGTGCGCGGATTGTACGAACCTTTGTTTCGTTGCGCGCAGTTGGCAGCTTATCAGCGCAGCGGCACGTGCCAAAACAAACTGCCGAAGTCGGCGTTCTCCGTGAGGGCTGACTGTGTCGCGCGCGCTGAAACAAAAAACGCCACCTTGAAATGCAAGTCATGCAAATCATGCGCGTTCGGGTGACCGTTTTGGAGATGGACTTTGAAATTGCGCTACACGACCCGAAGACCGTGGAAGGAGGACCTGGCATGAAAACTAGATGGGGGGCGACGATTATGATATGGATAATGCGGAAAGGAGGGCGAGGAGGAGGAGGAGGAGGAGGACGGGGGACAGGAGACAGGGAAGAGTAAGAGGAGGAGGAGGAACGGGTTTTCTGCGGGCTCCCACGCCGTCAAGTATCGAATGGCATTCGGCCTGCCTCGCCACAGTGTATGGGTTGTGGGTCAGAGTATTCAGGGAGCTTCTTGGGGCTCTCTTCCCGACCACTTACCTAGGCCCGTTTTATGAGGCCTGTCCGGAGCCTCTTGGGACCAGTTTTGAAGCCGCTTGGGGCTCGTTTTGGACCCTTTGGGCGCGTCTTGGGGGCCCCTTGGAGCCCTTTGGGGGCCTCTTGAGGGCTCTGGGGTGCATCTTGGGGCGGAAAGCTCGAATTGTCGGTTCGGGCTCCCGCTC